CCTCTCCTCCCCGCACCATCTGGCTCCTTCCCACCTCCCCAGTCCACCAAATGTCATCTTCATCCTGTCTACGCTGCTCCCATCTGCACTGGCATCCTTTCCATTTCTCAAGCGGGGGAAGCTCTCTCCCACCCCAGACTTCGCACATGCTGTTCCCTCTGCCTGGAACATGATTCCCTCCCCCTCCTTTCCTGGCTCGCCCCTCCTCAGGCTCCAAGTATCCGCTCACATGACCTCACCAAGAGGCCTTTCATTACCGACCCAATCAAACGCAGACCTTATTCTTGTGACAACTTATTTTCTTTAGCCTATTTATTTTCCTCACAGTATTTATCACGATTTCTGTCTTGTTTATGCAAACGTTTTCTATTCTTACAGGCAAGACATAGGCTGCGGACACTCCCTCCATAACCAGGAAGATGGTTCCCATTATATTTGTCTAATGAAGTAGTTCTCCAGTGAGGGGGGTTTTGCCCACCAGGGGACATTCACCAGTGTCTCGAGACATTTTGGCTGTCACAGCCCGACTGGGGAGTGGAGGCTCCTGATATCTAGTGTGCAGGAGCCAGAGATTTATTTCTAAGCCGTCTACAATACACTGGGGCCCCCTCCCCCGACAAAGAATTATCCAGACCACAGTGTCTGGCAGTCCTGCTGAGGTTGGGAAACTCTTATCTAATAACATCAGAGGACAGAGTGAGACCAGGAAGAGAGAATGAGTTTTTCCCAAAAAATGAACTGTTTTAGGAAATGATACAAGTGAATCCTGGATATAAAGTGTAATTGTGAAAGCTACGAGCCTTCAGCTCGTATATAATCGTGGCAATCTCTAATAACCTATTAGTTTCTTGGCTTTCAGTGATCATTGGTAAGACTTTTAAGGCTTAGTTTTAGAGGTACCTGGGCAGCTCAGTCGGTTAGGCGTTAGACTCTTGATTTAGGCTCAGGTCATGATCTCACAGTCCATGAATTCAAGCCCCACCTTGAGCTCTGCACTGACAGTGTGGAGTCTGCTTGGGATTCTCTCTCCGTCCCTCTGCCTCTCTCTTGCTCCCCCTCTCTCTCACTCTCAAAGTAAATTAAAATATTTTTTAAAAATTTAAAGAGACTAATTTTAGTAAGTGAGAGGTAATGATTTTCAAAAAAGCATTAAATTTCTTAGGGCTGTATCTGTGGTTATACATTTCCTTTTTGTGTCGTGACTACCAGGAGAAATAGCAAGCTATTTTTGAGGAGTATATATGAATTATTCTTGCCTACACTTTGTCAGAGTACATTTATTAATCCATTCTAAATCTTGTTTAATTTGGGTAATGCTTAAAAGAATCGCATGCTAGTTTTCTAATTTTTAAGGATCTGAGCATTGGTATATTGTTTTCTCTGGCCTGGCACATAGCAGGTGCTTAATAAATACCTTCAGACTGAGCTGACGTCTTTCTTTTTTTAAGTGGGAATCCTAAGATCAAAGGAAGTATCTTTCAAAGGGTACCTTTTTTTTTTTTTTTTTTTATGGAAAATGATTGGAGCTGTTAAGAACCAACAAGTTCTCCAAGGCAGTTGGTAATAATTGGTGGCCCTAAAGGAACTTGAATTTCTAGAGACACTTTCCCCACTAATCTTCTTGTTCCATAGTCCTCATACATAGGAATTTATTACGGCATAATTGTGGACCATGGCAAATGCTAGCACATTTTGATGCATCAGTTATGTGGTTTGGGGGTTACTTGAAAATGTTTTAGAGGCCCTTGGTGCATTGTGCTGTGGGAGATAAGAAAGATGGCAGGCACCTACATGTTTGGGGATCTGAAGGCTATGTGGATGGCTCTAAGTTTTGGCAAGGCTTGGTCCCCACCACCAGTGTGTTTCAGGAGTAGTCTTCTCTCTGTCCCCATTGCAGAAAACCCCTGTTCTCTCTCTTTCGCTCTCAAGTGAAATGTTATGAGCACTCTCAATTTATAAAATAAATGAATATATAATGCTTTCATTAAAAGGGGGGTGATGCTAGTAGAGAGCCTGGGGCCCCACCCCATTCATTTCTTTCTGTCACCGTTCTCCTATCCAGCTTGCTCTGTGACACTGCAGGTAAAATTTAGAAAGAGCCGACGAAGCCAAGAAAAGTTAACTTCTTGGCCTTCTGTTTGACCAGGAGATCCAGTTGAAATGCCGTGGATGTGGGATAAGTCAATCAATATCTGTATGTGCTGAATTTCATAGGCATTGGAGCAAAGCAACTTCTCTGTTCATGAGAAAGTTGCGTAAATTAGAGAGCATCATATTTCATGGTCATGCCAGTTAGCTAATTTGTTATTTTACAGTCAGCATTAAGATACTTAATTCAAATGTAATCTGGAAGTTCCTTGTAAATACTTAAAACATCTAGATTTAAATAAGTCTGAAAGGACTTTTAAAATGCTTTCTGAAGGACACATATGGAGAGTGGAATTAAGAATAAGATCGCTTGGGCGCCTGGGTGGCTCAGTTGGTTAAGCGTCCAACTCTTGATTTCTGCTCAGGTCGTGATCAAGATCTAAGTTGGGCTCTTTGCTAACAGTAGGGAGCCTGCTTGGGGTTCTCTCTCTCCTTCTCTCTGCCTCTACCCTGCGCACACTCTCTGTCTCTAAAAATAAAGAAAGAAACATTAAAAAAAAAAAAAAAGGAATAAGATAACCCAGTCGTCAGTAGTTGGTGGGTAGAAGCGACATAAACAAGCAATGGCGGAACCTTAGAAGAGCATGGAAGAGCAGGTAGGCGGCTCGAATTTTTTAGGAGGAATGGCTAAGTGAGTGGTGGAATGCTAATCCAAAGAAAAGAATTAGGACACACTGATACTGTAAAATCCACTTTTGTGATACAGGTCTGCAGAGGGACACCTGCCAGTAGATAGAATGTAATATTTTAGGATATTGTCAGCGAGACCAAGAGGTGTGAGATTGTTCTGGTAAATGTGACACATTTGTCCAGGATTCCACAGCAGTTCAGGAACTCAGGAATTATTAAGAAATGGGATGATTCTACATTTAAGATAAAATCCTAGCACTTGGCCCACTGTTTAAACCACTGTTTAAACCACTCAGACCTTTTTAGCTTTTCCTCACTAGTATGTTTGTTCTGGTTTTTTCATTCATTTTGTTTTGTGGTTTTATAGATAGAAACGTTTAAGATGCTCTTCTCTTCCCCTTCCAGTTCTTTCTCTTATAATGCAAACATCGTTAAAAGTTTAGATGATACTTAAAAAAGGGGAGGGGGACTATACTCTGTAATTATTTTACAACTTGCTTTTTCAATTTCTATATCTTGGATATCCCTCTAGGCCAGTGGTTCTCAGGTAGGAGAAATTTTGTCCCTCAAGAGACAATGTCTGGAGATATTTTTGCTGGTCATGACTGGAGGGGAGAATGAGAAGTTGCTTCTGGAATCTAGCAGAGGCCAGTGTTGCTATAAAAGTCCTATAATGCAAAGGACAGCCTTACAACAAAGAATTATCTGCTCCAAAATGTCAATAGAGCCAAGATTGGAAACCCTGTCCTAAGTCAATACACATAAACCTCACTCATTATTTTAAAAAGCTTCATAATACCTGTAGGATGCTAGATCATCATTCATTCAGCTAGTTTCCTATTGATAGTAATGCCTTCTTATTTAGTGATATTTATATATTTAACATTAAGAAACCAAATGCTCCAGTTGGGATATTTACAACTCATTTGTTTCTTTAAAGAGCAAAAGTCAGTCTTCTCAGAAAGACTCAAAAGAGGAGCAGTTAAGAATTTATAGGCTCTTGGGGCGCCTGAGTGGCTCAGTCCGTTGAGCGTCAGACTTCAGCTCAGGTCATGATCTCATGGTTTGTGGGTTCGAGCCTTGCGTTGGGCTCTGTGCTGACAGCTCAGAGCCTGGAGCCTGCTTCTGAATCTGTGTCTCCCTCTCTCTGTGGCCCTCCCCTGCTCTCTCTGTCTCTCTGTCTCTCTCTATCTCTCTCAGAAATAAATAAAACATTAAAAAAAAAAAAGAATTCAGAGGCTCCTGTATAAAATTAGATTCTGGGTCACTGTGAGTCGAGAGAATTTGGTGTCAGTAAAAATCACAGACTCAGACTAAATGACAAGTCTTAAAGAAGTTGTTTAAAAGCATGTCTTCATTTTTTTTGATTCTTCAGAATTAAGAAAAGCAGCAGCACCAACTAACTCTAAAGCCTTTGAGATGACTGCTCACAGCAGAAGGCTACTTTAGACGTGACTGCAGTAACTTTCAGAGCAGCTGCTTCTGATGAGCTCTACTTCCTCCTTACATATATTTTTAAAAATCCATTAGTATCTTAAATCACGGCGGGGTGAGCAAAAGAAAACAAAGCAGGTTTAAGATGAAGAAAGTGATATCCAGTCCTAAAGGCACTGAATGACTTCCAGATGCCATTGACAATGTAATTCAGAATTGGAATGACCCTCTGGTTAACCACAGAGGGTTTTATAGAAAGGGTGCCCTGAAGCAAACAGATGTTGGCTCTGTGCCTCCCTAACCCCCGCCCCCCTACTTGTCAAATGCGTTCCCGGAAGGATAAAGTGAAGACCGGATTCTCCTGCCCTTGCAGACATGGGTCTGGGGGAATGGTACCAGTAGTGTGTGTGTGTGTGTGAGAAGGATAGAGACCCAACGGATAAGCTGGAAGAAAGGACTAAACCTCTGCTTCAACCTTTTCTTCCTTGTCCGTTTCCTCAGTAAGAAGCAGAAGTTGGAAGTTTATCCTTCTTTGCCAGTAGGCTTTTATTATTATTTTTTAAAGCCATTTGGTGACAGTCCTAGAGTGAAATAGACGAGGCTGGATAAATTGGGCTTTGTGCTTTTGACCCTTCAGCTTTGGGGCAAGAGTCCTTCTAGTGGGTGAACGACTGGGGGCCGTCATCCTGGATCAGGTCACACCTGCCTAAGGAACTGCTGACATTCTCGGGGTGTTGGTATGTGAGAGCACTAAGAGCTCCCTTCCTTGTTGTCTGTTGCCTGTTTAGGACCAGAGCCACACGCAAGTGCCCCAGTACCGTCAGGATCACGCCTTGATCATGAGGTCCATCGTCCACATGACTGATGCTGCTCGCTCTGGGATCATGCCTCCCGCTCAGCTCACCACCATCAACCAGTCTCAGCTCAGTGCCCAGTTGGGGTTAAATTTGGGAGGCGCTGGTATGCCTCACACGTCTCCTTCACCTCCAGCGAGCAAATCGGCAACGCCTTCCCCTTCCAGCTCCATCAATGAGGAGGATGCTGATGAATCTAACAGAGTAAGTCTGCCTTAGTGCGTCACCTACCCAGGAATTTACAGGCACCTCATGCTGTGTCTTTGAGTTTCATTCATGGTAGTACCTTCCTTCTCTTCGTGGGTTTTGGCTAGCATTTCAATTTATGATGGTTTGATCCCCCCCCGCCCCCCCGCTTTTACTTACTCATTTTTTGTGAAAAGCGTATTCCACAGGAAATTGGGAGATCTGACTTCTCCTACTGATTATAAAGCGTCAAACATGTCACTTAACTCACGTGGGCATGATTTTCCCAGCCGGCAAAGGGAAGGCTTACAGTAGCTTCCCCAGAAATTTTAAAGTGCTCTGGTTCTAAGTTAACGTCCATGTGGATAAGTTTCACCCGGTTAGTTGGCGAGCGACCATCACATTGGACAGCCTTACTCCGTCGATGATGCTTACCACTTAGTAAGTTCTAATTGTTCCACATTTCTGCTTTTGTCATGGAGAGTGATACTCAAATACGCATGGTTTGAAATAAAAACTTAGTTGCAGGTGGGACTTTTCTGAATGCTTAGAAAGGTATTCTGTTTCATTCAAGTTACTTATCCTAGATACACAGTTACTCCTTCCCTATTCAGTATGTGTTGTGTCCCTACTCTGTGCTTTGCATTTCGCTTGGTTCTGGTGACATAAAGATTTATAAGAGAATTACTACCTCTGGGACTCCCCACTGGGGATGAAAAGCAATGTTTAATACTAGCTCCAGGTGTGATTAGTAGTATAATTGATGTATCTGGTGGGCTAAGATTGTAATCGATTCTGCTTGGGAGAGTGATTTGAGGAAGACTTTATTGAGAAGGTGATGTTTGAATTAGGTCTAAGAGGATACATAAAAGTTTGTGAGGCAGAAGAGAGGGGCCGGCATTCTGGCCGTAGGAGCAGTGGAAGTACATGCCAATTTATGAGTATCATGAACAGTTTGATATGGGGAGGAAAGAACTAGGAATTGAAGAAACTAGGAGCTGAAATGTGGAAGCAGGTAGTTGAGAGCTGATTAATGATTTGCATAGCCGAATGGCATACGCAACTTTATGCTTTCAAAAGACGGCTTTGGCTGTATATGGAATGCATTACAAAGGGAGGGACTGGAGGAAAGAAAACGGATCAGAAGATCCTTTTGTTACAAAGTGTTTCCTTTGAGCAAAGGAAGGAACTGACAGGAGGTACCAGCTTAGTGAGACATATAAGAGAGAGGGTCATAAATTTTGGTAATCCACTGGGGTTTGAAGGAATCAAAGATAAATGGGGGTTTTAGTATGAGAGTAAGCATGGATATCAGCAAATGAGAGAAACGGCCCAGAGAGAGAAGAGTGTTACTTTTTCTCCCATGGAAAAGATGAGAGTTTGGCACAGTACGGGTTGAATATGAAGCATCCATGTTTGAGCTACAACTCAGTTCACTGGAGGTACAAGAACATATTTGGGGACCATCACCACGTAAATATGGAGACATGGAAGTAATCAGGATTTCTCAGAGTGTGTGAGGAGCCCTGAGCATCATTAATTTTTAAGTAGCAAATGGAAGAAGAAGAAGAGCTAGAGAAGGTTGAGAGTGATGATGGAAGAGGGAAGGGAGGTTAGAATATATTGCAGGGATTTAAAGAAGGAGGGTTTGATCTGTCCTGACATGTTAGCACTCCACTGGACACAGATTGGGTAAATGGATTACCAGTCTCTGCTCACACTTAAAAGGACTTCTGTAAGGTGAAGTGAGAAACAATGATTATAAAGAAACTCCAGGGATGGGAATAAGGCACAGCTAAGTTACAACTGGCCATGACACCATTCAAATGGATTCCTTTCATTTCACTCACATTTCCACTGATCTGATACTCACTTTTGTACCACACTGAAATTGTCATGGCTAAGGAGAACCTTATCTGTGACTCCTAGCTTACTCCATTTTCAGCAAGAGTCTAGGTTTTGTGTAAAGGCAAGGAATCCAATTTGTTCTCCTTTAAGCAACTGAGCAGAGAAAGAAAGATTAAAATTATCATTGATTGTGTCTCTTTTGGGGAAAACCATTTCTCCACCTTTCCCAGCCTTCTTCAGTCAATCACATACAGGTTTCGGTAGGAGAATTAATTCTGGGATTTTTATTTAAACTGTGAGATTCTTCATTTCAAGTTTATTCTTAAAAGGTAACCATGATCAGGGCACATCATGATTATCCAAGGAAGATATCAAAGGTTGTCAACATTTGAATGCTATTTTACAGGAAGTGAGATTGAGCTCTTCTCTGGGAAGAGCTGCCCTGGAAATCGCTTTCACCTTGCCATTGGTCAGGGCATTGTTGCTGCAAACAGTGCCAAAGTTTCTTCCAGGAAAGGTGTATAGTTATTGGACTCAATTAGAAAAATCTGTGTTATATGCAGATATTTTTTTCCTTGGGGCCAAAGCAGTATTTTTTCACTGAAGGAAAGCTTGGCGCCCATTGAAGCTCTAACCGAAAGGCATCTGACTGCCTTACAAGTTCAGATTCATTAACTAGAATTAAGCAAGTCGCAATGATTCTGAGAATTTAGGGGGAAAAAAGATGATTGAAAATTAATGAATTAATTGTGTGAGTCATGAAAGCTGGCATTTTGGAGAAGAGGTGAGATGTGGCTCACCAGCATCTGAAGTGTGTAAACTACTTGTATGAAGTACAGATGTTGTTATCACTCAAATAGTGCGTGTGATAGGCCCACCGAAAAGTGGACTTGTGATTCCCCAACACATCAAGGGTCCAGAGCACTCAGAAACAAGTTACTTACCATTTTTCTCCCTACAAATTTTAGTAATTGGATTAAGTTCCAAATGACTGTCATTCAGAAAATAATGATACTTTTGGAAAATTTGAATTTAGGATTCAAGACTCAAGGCCATTAAAAACCAATCTGTCAGTAACTTGAGCCTATCTCTGCTGATCTTCCCCATGGCTGGCTTTTAAAACCGATTTTGTCAAACATTTCAGCATTTGAGCCTATCTCTGCTGATCTTCCCCATGGCTGGCTTTTAAAACCGATTTTGTCAAACATTTCAGCATTCTTGAAGTTAACTGCAAAATGATCTTCAGTACAGTCATATTATAATGTAGGGGGTTAAAACAGGGGTGATGCATCTCTTCTCCTGCTTCTCTGAGAAGGACATTACATGATTAGATGATGGTAGCAGCAGGTGAGTCTGGAGCTCATTGCTATATAAATATAGGGAGCTATACCCATGGCATGTCTGTGGCTTTGATCTCAGAGGGCTCATATGGTAAGTATGTGTAAAGGACTTACTGTCTATATGACAATATTCTTCTGGACAGAGTCACTCACTATATATCATAACTCTTTTCTTATCAGTCTTCTTTATAGCCTAGGTGATTTTAACCATCAGTTATTGCTCTCATACAGGTTTGTTTTCATTTTAGTGAAGAATATCAGTTTCCCCCCAGTTAAGGGAGTTTTGACATTTTTTTAACGTTTCTTGTTACCCTATTCTTCAGAAAGTTTTAATTGCATAAAGAAATAAAGATGACCTTTCTTTTACTATGTGAGCTTAGGGATTGTAGCTAATTTCCACCGGCATTTCTGGAGACCCATTAGCAAAGGAACATTCTGGTAAGATAAAACTTGATGCTTCAAAAAATCGATTCAGACTGATCATATATGGCAGAGGACTCTGGCAAGGGACCTCAGTTTAAAATATCTGAATATGATCTGCATCCTGAATCATTATTTAAAATCCTTCTAAGACCTCTGAAAATGTAAAATATTTTATGTGTACACATGTAATGCACACACACACACACACACACATATGCACATACTTCATTCATTGCCTGGTATCGTGTTCTGTTTTTCATTACTCATAATTGCTATTTAGAGCATATGTTATGAATGTATTGAAGATACTTCTGGGTCTCATTAATCAATGTTCTAAATGCTAATCTTTGCTGTCCAGTTAACTCTAAGAAAACTTACCCCTCCCCTGCTTTTGCCGGTGATTCATCTGTTGATGAATCTGCTTAACAAAACCTTCAAAGAACAATTGCGGATCTGGTTCGGTCTTGCCACCTTCGCTGTGAGGACATTCGAGGCAGTGAATTTTCTTCCTGCTTTGCAGGCCATTGGAGAGAAAAGAGCTGCTCCAGATTCTGGCAAGAAGCCCAAGACTCCAAAGAAAAAGAAAAAGAAAGATCCCAATGAGCCCCAGAAGCCAGTGTCAGCATATGCCCTGTTTTTCAGAGACACACAGGCTGCAATTAAAGGTCAAAACCCCAATGCAACCTTTGGAGAGGTCTCAAAAATCGTTGCATCTATGTGGGACAGCCTTGGAGAGGAACAGAAGCAGGTGAGGCAACGATCCACCGCGACCATACTCTTAAAAAAGTTAGAGTATTTCTCCCATCTTCTCCGAGTGAATGTTCACCTAATGCGACTGTTTCTCAGGAAGGCCTTTTCTAAGCTGTGGGATTTAGAAACGCAGTTGTGTAAATCTAAGCCACTCTCCCCAGTTACACGGATTCCTCAGGCCCCCTTAAGGGTTTGTGTTCGGAACCCATTCCGTGGAGCAGTGGGGGAAATTCAGGCAATATCCTGTAAGCGTACACTTTTGATGATCATCTTTTCGCTTTAGATAATGCGGAACTTGCCCCCTTGGCTCAGAAAGGGCACTCCAGAGAGATTAGGACCCTCCCGCTTGCCTTTCCTCTGATCCTGTCTCCGAACCCTTGTGCCATCCTGTCCTGGTGGGTTTCCAAACTTTGAGGCCGCCTCTGTGAGTCTCATTACTGTCACGGGGCGCTTGAAATTTTCTTCCAAGTTCATTCGAAAGCTTGGCCATTGCATTGGCCAAGAAGTATTGAGAGATGAGCCAAGCCGGTGGGAGATACTTCCTTAGGGCCTCACCCCCAGAGTTTCCCCTTGAGGCTCCTCCCGCACAAATGGAGGGAGGAATGGCTTCCGTACACCTTGTGTGAAACTCCAATGACCATCAATGAGATTTAACTTTACGTGCACTCAGAAGACTTGACCTCTCTTAGTAATGATACAGAATAGCCATTTCAGGAATGAAGAGTGCAAACCCTCTTGTTTTCTTTTACGAATCGTGACCTCATTCCTCCTCGCTGCTTACTCGGGGATGGTGCGGCTATAGATTTTTGCCCGTTTGCGGTGAGCTTATTGTTGTATGCGGTGCACTGATTCTCTGTCCCAGAAATGTAATCCTCAGGGACTGGCAAACCGCTGCATCTTTTAACTCTGGAGAGAAAGGCAGTTGCGCTTTGGTCTCACACACAGCCGTCAGACACTGTTAAGAAAAGAAAGAGCAAATCACGTTTTGTATAGTGGGATTTATTTATGTAACTCGTTGGCCTCACTAATGGAAATTTCCCATCTTTTAACTATTTCTGAGGGTTTTTTTCCTTCAGAAGAAAACTAAGGTAGTTTCATCTTTTCTCTTGTGCCTTCCCACACCATACCTGTCATTGGTGATGTTTTAATCCCCTTATTTGGTGCAGGTTAGAAATGGGGGAGGGGAGGGAGGAAGACACTGATGGAGAAACTCGTTATTTTCTGTAATTTGAACCATTTGGAGCAAATTTTACTCTTCTTGCTACCCCATCTAGCCCTCCACTGGTTCTCCTGAAATCTTTTTTTTTTTTTTTCATTTGTAATCGTCAAATGAAAATCGTATAATCAAAATTGTGCTCCAGTGAGGACAGGAGGGTTTTGTTTTAATGTGTGTGGGTGTGCGGGTGGGTGTGTGTTCACATTAAAAACCAAAGCCGCCGAAACCAGCCTTCTATGCGAGTTACAAGTCTTGACCTAATTTGTGCGGCCTGTCCTCTTATGGCTGAGAATGTGTATACTAAAGGCGATGCTAACTGTGTCTTTTAATAGGTTTATAAGAGGAAAACGGAAGCTGCCAAAAAGGAATACTTGAAGGCCCTGGCCGCTTACAGGGCCAGCCTCGTTTCTAAGGTAAACCCGTGCGGGAACGGCCAGCCTCAGAGTTAGCCAGGTTGACACCAGCGCAGAGCGCAGAAAGCCTACAGGCAGCTCCTCTCAGAGTGGGCCAAAAAAAAAAAAAAAAAAAAAGGCATCTTGAACAACTCATCAGCTTATTTGTTTCCATTGAAGATGACCTCAATGATAGCGTGAAAAATAGGAGTTCACTTATTTATGTTATTTTTTAATGTTTATTTATTTTTGAGAGGGAGAGAGACAGTGCAAGCGGGGGAGGGGCAGAGAACAAGAGGGAAACACAGGATCCGAAGCTGGCTCCAGGCTCCAAGCCGTCAGCACAGAGCCCTACTCGGGACTTGAGCTCACGAACCACAAGATCATGACCTGAGGCCGAAGTCAAACGCTTAACTGCCAGAGCCACCCAGGCACGTGCCTCCCCCCACCAACAGTTCATTTAAACTGCTGCATCGAAATTGTTTCCAGAAGATTCACTGCCCTCTCTTTATGTATGTTGAGACTATTTAACAAAACACAAATATTCAAGACAAATCTTGAATAGCCTCTCACTTTTGCTTTTCATCAGGGACTGAGATCGTTGTCAGTGTCCATCCCTTGAAACTGGGCGGTATTTTGGTCAGGTGGTTTGGGACATCCTATCACAAATTCTCCAGTGCTTCTATTATTGTCGTAGGAGATGTTGCATTTTTGACCAGACTGTTCCACATCATATAAATAAATAAACCTCATGACTTTTTAAAATAAAATTATACTCCAAGTACTTAAAAAAAAAAAAGGACGTGTATATGTATTATACATAGAGTAGAAAATGGGCCCTGATGTATTATAAAATGCACCAGCATCCCAAAGCAAATGTCACTCTGGATTATTATTACCTTGATACAAAAGGAGCATGAGCTATTACGTTGCATTTTAACATTTAATTAATTTTGTCTTTAGCCTCTCTAGAATTTTGAGAGGCTTAGGGGAGAATCATTTGAACTGATGTTTTTGCTATTGATGTATTTCGCCTGGTGATCAGGGATTCATTTCCATTGTCGTGCTTGTTGCCAGAAGTACCACACAAGGCTGCAGGGCATGGTGGGTGTTGCTGGCAAAGCCGTTTAAAAAGGATCTAATTCCGGGGTGCCTGAGTGGCCCAGTCAGTTAAGCGCCCAGCTCTTGGGTTTGGCTCAAGTGATGATCTTGAGGTTCGTGAGTTCGAGGGCCGTGTCAGGCTGCAGAGCCTGTTTGGGATTCCTCCGTCTGTGCCCCTCCCCTGCATGCTCACTTTTTCTCTCTCAAAATAAATAAACTTAAAAGAAAAGTTAAGAAGGGCTTAATTCCTTTTTTCTTGTCTTCACCTCAATTGCTGCTTCTTTATATTAAGCTCTACGATGGGCAGCCACTCAAATCAGATCAAGAGGGGTCCCCTTGTTTTGCTGTCTGCTGTTAGGACACCTTCCATGTTGTTGGAAGGAGAACACAGACGTTCATCAGGTCAATAGTGAAACCTTCATCCGAGACCCTGGAAGACACACATTAAAGGATGTACCAGTTCTGGACTCAGATCGGCATATTGGTAGAACACAGCCAAACGTGTAGGCTACCGATGTTAAGAATGGAGGGATGGTTGGCTAATGAGATAGAGTGGTCCAGCTAGAGGAGCGGTGTATGTGCACTTCCTAAGTGGATCATTTATTCATTCATTTACCCAGAAGCAGGCATAGGTGATCTTTGTGCATTAGAGCATGAATAAGCAACCACACGTGGATTTCAGCCAAGAGGCAGTCTCTCAAAAGGCATTCAGGAAACAGTAACCACGATTGGGCTCATCGAGTCTATGACTGATGTAGAAGAGACACCGTAAAAGTTATACATTGAGGGACTTGCATCAAGATTCAGAAGTATGTCTGAGTAAAATTTAGTAGATTCCCAAAAACCAATAGGATGGAATTTTAAAAGAATAAATCTAAAATAGTGTGTGTTTGGGGTGTTTGGGTTTTATTTTATTTTTTTGTTTTGTTTTGTTTTGTTTTTCATTAAGTTAGGACAGGCTGAGAGCATCCTTCATTTATTTTAAGAGTCCTGGCAGGTAACTAAAATAGTCCGTGAAGTAGAAGTTCAGAATAATTTCAGTCCAAACCCAAAGCTATTAAAATAGCTTCTAATGTGATGATGATTAGACCACATCTGAAGAATTGGTTCCATTTTGGAGCCCACATTTCAAAGGGGCACGGTAACCAAGCAACCAACAAAAATTAATAGGAGCTTACTATTAAAATATAAGGGAGTAAACCTGGCAGGCCAGCAAGAACTCTTTCCACTCATCTACCCGTTTCTCTTCACCACTAGTGGAGTCTTAAAGGCACACTGGTGTGATTGGCCAGGTGTCTAAATACAGACTTCCCTTGTAGTTTCATCATTAAGACTAGCTGGGTGATTTTTAAATATTAGGGTATATACAAATTGTTTCCCTGTTCATATGTAGAATACTGGGCGTATTCTACCTTATGGGAGATTTCATGGTTTTTTAAAGATGATTAATGAGTCTTTGCAGGCTTCTTCTTACCCTAAGACTTTAGAACATGAACCTCCAGGAGGCACGAAAGCCCACCTAGCTTCTGTAAAAAACCAGAGAGCTGTCCACCGATAGACGGTGTTTCACCCTGATGATGTGTTCAAACATAAGCCATCCACAATGGCTTCTCCTCCACTGAATGACTGTCAACATAAGGTCACCACTTATAAGATCCTTCTACTAGTAGATTTTAGAAGTGGGAGTCATAAAAATCTGGAAGTAAACATTCAGTATCATCGAAGAGAGTGGATGCCAGCGTGATGCCTCCAACGTGCTACCACTACCCTCCTCTCTAATTTGGTGAAGAACAAGAGAAGAAAATAGCCAGTAAGAGCAATCAGTTCGATCACGGTTACGTCAGTAAAAGAATTTACTTTGATAGAGACGATTACGTATTTTTAGTGCAAAATATAATAGCAGCGTCTCTCCATGCGGAGCCTCAAATCAGATCAGGTGTTTATCTTACAACAGACAGGTTATGCAGCCACCCAAGTGCTGAATGTTCTCCCCCGATCTAGGACTCCTGCGATAAATTCTGGAAATCTTTGAAAATATCGGGTAAACTCAAACATTTCTTAAGCCATGAAATACTTCCATGGAGTATCTCTGAGGAATTCTGTCACATTACTCCTGTTTTCAAGTGGGCCCTGTCATACACTGTCGGAAAATGCAGGGCTTTGACATTTTCTGGTAGTAGTTTTCTGGAAATAGTAATTGTTAATTAATAAAAAAATAACTAACATTTACTAAATCCATCCCCTGGGCCAAGCGCCATTCTAAACGCTTCACAAACATGAAGTAATTTAATTCTCAGAACCTCTGTGAAGATAAATACCGTAACACCCCATTTTATAGGTCAGGAAACTGAGGAACAGGTGGGTGAATTAACTTGCCCAGGGTCACAGAGCTGCCAAGTAGCAGAGCACCATTTGAACCCTCGGGCAGTCTGTACTCTCTTGTCTTTCAGTATGATTTACAGGGATGGGGGTTAGCTCAGGCTTAACTGCTGGAGACGTGTTGTTCTTGAACGCGTGTATCAGTTATCTTTTGCTACATCGTGCTGTGTAACGCCCAGCCACAAAGCCCAGTGACCTGAAAAGACAAGCATTTATCTCAGAGGGCGGCAGTGAACTGGCTAGTTCTTCAATCTAGGCCAGACTCGTCAGGATCCACTGGTCCTGCTCATTGGTCCGCAGTCCGGGTGGCGGTTGGAGGCAGCTGGGCCTCGGTCACGGACAAGGCAATTGGCCGGCTGGCTTTGGAGTGGAGACTGGGCCATGTGCCCCTTATCACCCACATGGTGATAGCAGATGCCTAGACAGGGTACAAGGCTAGCCCAATTCAAGGGGGAAGGAATTTGACCCTACTTCCGGGGTAGGGGAGCTAAAAACTCTTAAGACAGGAAAATTGAGTCCAGGGAAGAATGAATAGTGGTGGTCATTTTTTTTTACTCTTAAAAAACAGAGTAGTATTTTAACTACTTGGGGATTTTAGTATCTGGGGGTTTTCTCGCCCCAAATGCAGGCTGCTGCCGAGTCAGCAGAAGCCCAGACCATTCGCTCCGTTCAGCAGACCCTGGCGTCCACCAATCTGACTTCCTCGCTCCTTCTCAACCCCCCGCTGTCGCAGCACGGGACCGTATCGGCCTCACCCCAGACTCTGCACCAGTCGCTCCCCAGGTCCATCGCCCCCAAGCCCGTACCCATGAGACTCCCCATGAACCAGATCGTCACGTCGGTCACCATCGCCGCCAACATGCCCTCGAACATTGGGGCCCCGCTGATCAGTTCCATGGGGACGACCCTGGTGGGCTCGGCGCCCCCTGCCCAGGTGAGCCCTTCCGTGCAAACCCAGCAGCAGCACATGCAGAGGCAGCAGCAGCAGCTGCAGCAGCAGCACCAAATGCAGCAGCAGCTCCAGCAGCAGATGCAGCAGCAGCATTTCCAGCACCACCTGCAGCAGCACCTGCAGCAGCAGCAGCAGCTGCAGCAGCAGCTGCAGCAGCAGCTGCAGCAGCAGCTGCAGCAGCAGCTCCAGCTGCAGCAGCTGCAGCAGCACATGCAGCACCCGCCTCAGCCCTCTCCTCGGCAGCCCTCCCCAGTCACCTCCCAGATGACGTCCCCCATCCCCGCCATCGGAAGCCCGCAGCCGGCCTCTCAGCAGCACCAGTCACAGATACAGTCCCAGCCACAGACTCCGGTATTGTCACAGGTCAGTATTTTCTGAAGGCGCCCGCGGCAGGTGCACCTGGAGCGGCGCGCGTGCGCGGTGGCCAGTGGCAGAGGAGGGTCAACGGAACGCGGCCCGAAGCTTGTAAGTTGCTGTCGGTTATGCCGAAATGTGTCACAGATCACATGGTCCTCTCAAGTGTCTATTAGATAGGCAATAAGAACACAGTGTAGCCGAGTATCACCTTCTAGCTGACTGTAAATCACTTTGTTTTTAAACAAGAAAAGCTGTGCTCTTTTATGTGATGCCTTTTTTATTTATTCAGGCTATACCTACAATATGTGAATCAAACCGTTTAATGAATCCTGGGACGTACTGAGGACTATAAACTGGCCTCTCTGAGTCACAGAAAACGGCCTTATTTCTCCAGAAGTGAATAAACCGCACTTCCAGGCTATTTGAACTCCCGGAGCCCTAAAAATAAAAAAGCACAGTGGTAATTACCTGACCTAGGAAGATCCAGTTTCATACAAACATTTGTATGACGTGAATAGTTGATGGCATTTTTTTGTCATGAAAAAAAAAATAATAATGTAAATCACAGACTTTTGCCAAAGCTCTTATTTTTTTTCCCTAAATCTCTCCAGAAAAAAAATACAAGTGATTAGATTCAATTATTGACTTATTTCCACTTTTTTAACCCATGGCTTCTCCAATTCAAACCACAGTATACGTTGTAACAATATCTATGGCCACTGGTAGCCCATTACGTTCATTCCAATTAGAAGAAAAGAATGTGAATATTATATTCTGTGTTTTGAGTGACAAGTTTCGAAAAATAAAAACACTGTATTTTTAAAAGGGAAATGCACTTAAATGAAAACAGTTATTACAAAAGTTAAGATTTAAAAAAAATGCAAGAGTTTTTATTATGATGTAATACCGGTAGAATATTTAAAAGGCGCACCACATCTGAATAATCAATGTAAATATTTTCTTTCCAAGTTGTAAGTTTTCATATCATGTGTTGTAAAGTTTTCATAAACGAGGCTTTAACGTAAACACTGGTGTCATAAACCATTCATTGCTACGTTGCTTATTGTGTTTTTATGCTGTTTTATACTTTTTTATGAGTTATGATAGCAGCGATTAAGTTGTTTGTATTTTGCTTAACTAAAACAAAAATGCTTTTATCTTGCTATAGAATAAACACCTTTCAGTAAAAACTGTGGACTGTATTTTGATGCAACGACCAGGAAAATGTTCACTTTTCAAATAAAATGATATGTCAAATGTCACTTTCGGTTCCTTGAATACATGTATGATGGGAAAATACGCCACATACTGACTTGTCTTGAGCCAAAGCATCATATTCTGTTTCCAGTTGGAAATAGGATACTCACTGCAAAGAATTCGGGTTGCAGGGCCCACCCCCGGGGACCTCTTAAAAAATAGAAAATCTTTTTTTAAGGATCGTTTTGTTAAGATGCAAGTGGCAGGTAAGTACACAGGAGAAAGCAGTGGTCTTCTCTCTGGGGCCAGAACTTGCCGGCAGTGTGTTGTTACTGCTGTTAAAAAGGATGGCGGATGCTGGTTCTTAAGCCAAAATAATTATTTCGGTGCTCATTTCTTCCCCCCTTTCCTTGCTCTGTAGTGGCTCCTCTTTGAGAACAGTGTGACCAGTATCCCCAGTTGCCTTGCATGATTAATTACAGCATCTGTCCTGTCAGAAGCTATAATGAAGAGGTCTTGATAAAAATTGCAAATTACCACTGGCAACAGTCTTAAACTGTTTATGATAAAATGAAAATTAAAAACAGCAAGTGTCAACCCTGACCAGAATCCTAATCTGGAAAACACGAGGGTGTGCGTTTGGGTGTCCGTAGCTCCCGTGCGCAAGCCACTCAGACATAACGGACTGTGGGGTCCTCAAAGTTGTTGTATTTTCAAAGAATTATTTACTGTATGTTGTGGGCTATGAATAATGAATTCAGCTTTCAATATTTCATAGTCCTCTCCTACTCTGTATTATGTACAAATATTGAACAGCAAGAGATTCTAATTATAAATTTATAGATTTCTTGCTGTAGAAAAATTTATGTCTAAATTGAAGCTTTTCATAAGATGTATTAGTTGACAGGTATCAGTGTTCAAACAGCCTTAGAATGATGCCTAATCGCATCTACAAGGAGGCAATTGTGTTCCACAAAGAAATGATCGGCTTGCCTCAGACCCATCAGAAGCAGAGCTGATGGTAAGAGAGTTTCTGTGAATTGAAACTAACATTACATAACAATAAGAGCCATTTTATATTCTGTTGTGAAACCTTTAGACAAATGTCTTCAAAATTAATTGCTAAACTACATGTGACAGTAATTGTGTATTAGTTCTGTCATTGTCATTTTGAAAACCCATGAAGTAATGCTTGGAAAAAAATGTCACTAGTGATAAGACTTAATTGCAAGCGAAGTCTGTTTTCAACTGTTTGCGGTTAGAAGCAGGTGTTGTAACATCTATTAAATGATTTTGTAAATCTTGGGTTTTATCACATTTGATTAAATGCTGCTGAGCCACTGACGGTCAATTTCAAGGCAAAAAAAAATAGCTTAATTACGACAGTTAAAGAAAATTAATCATCAGGCAAAACTGTATGTTTAAAATGTCAAAAGGCTTGAATCATGAAAAGAATTCTCCAGCCTTGTCACCAGATTATTCTCAGGATTCACTAAGGCATATTATGAATCAACTTGTATTTCAATGTATACATGTGACTGGCTCCTATTCCCGAGATGTCAGTAAGGACTTGCTATACTTTGTTTTGTTACAGGGCAGAAATAAATCAGGGTCATGAGAAATAGACACGGGAAGTGTGGTATCTGATTAGTGGGATTTCTAAAATGGTCTGTGTTCCCTCTTACGTAGTCTCAAGATGTTAAGGAGGCCCCTCCGCACCCCTGCTCCACCTCTATCACGCACACCTTTTCACTCCCCCTGCCCGGTGCGCGTTGTTTCATTACTGTGGCTGAATGAGTTCCCTTTTTTGCATTAACCTGTACTGCCGTACGATGGAGGAACATAAGGAGTTTTCATTTTTAGCTGACACGGGGTCATCAGTTCCCAACTCGAAGAACAAAAGCTTAAATGCCTTCGTTGCAGCATAATTTCTGCCATTTATTACCACCTGACGGAGGTCCGAAGGCGTTCTAGACAGATGGATTAATATCTCAGGCTTAAGTAGAAGTCCTCTGCTGTGTCCATTCAGACATCTGAATGGTTTCTTTCCCGTAACTCACTTCATGGAGCATTTTTCAGCACTGGACTTCAATCTAACCTTTCCTTCCTCCCCCCCTCCCCACCCCCTTTGTTTGGCTTTTGTTTTGCAACAGCTGTTATTATCGTTTTTGGTCAGCTGTGATTGCTGGAGGCAAAATAGGACCAGATGGTGTTTTGCTATGCATGAATGGCGAGTTAGAGGCGTTGAGATTGAATAGGCCAAGTTTGAATGGTGTCTGTACACCACCTGCCTGCCTGGGCTGTGGCACACACATCACAGTAGCACGATCCGCCACCGATCTCCCAGAATCGGATGGGAAAGTGGGGCGCTGGGGTGGATTGTCCCCATATTTATTGATCTTCCATGCACTCACAGAATAATGCAGTGTACAGTCAATTTGAGTTAATTGGATATGACACAGCATGGGAATGTAATCTATCACTCTAGAATTCTGGTTTGCTTTAAGGATTTCATTGCTCACACAGACACACACATACACACACACACAATAAGAGCAGAAATTAATGGGCTAAGTAGACATAAGTTTTAAAAAAAAACAAGTCTGTCTAAAATTATAGACTTAGAAGTCTGAGGTTGAGGCTTTGAAAGGAGAAGACCTCTCATGATTTGTGTTAGCTAATCATGCAAGGGAGAGGAAAGCCAATCATCATACCATGATTCTGGTATGTTTGCAGAGCCCTCCTGTTTGTCAGCTATCCATCAAATATTGCAGATTTATAAGAAATGTGCCTTGGGAGGAAAACCACACAGATTCACAACCAGATTAGAATTCTTTTGGAAAATCCTCCTCGATAGGATGGTCTCTCCCCCCCAAATATAGTTAGTTTTGCTGACCATCTGAAGTAAATTTAAGGAGAAACACTATCCCTGAATAGGATCCTACAGGTGTGAAGGTTTTATGTGTGCCAGCGCGTTGGAGGAGAAGCTTAACCACCCACAAAACATGGAGTCAGATATGCAGACAGGCAGCCTCATTTGCCTGCGGCCCTAATTACTTAAATTTACCTCTGCTACATGCAGAACACTGTGATAGGTCCCAACGGAGATGTGAAAAATAAACAAAGCCTTCTGTTTACTTTGTATATGTTTGAAATCTTCCCTAGTAAAGGTTTAAAAAAATAAACAAATAATAAGCCATCTTCAACATCAGGAGCTTTTTTTTTTTTTTTTTCTCTAATTGCGGTGGAGAAATGTACCCACCAGACAGAATGATGAACAGGACAATAAGACACAAAGCAAATTAAGCAAAATTGTTCTGGGTGATTGTGTTTTGTTTTTGTTTTTTGGGTTTTTTTTGGGGGGTAATCTAAGAAATTGAAAATTTCTTGAGAAAGGGAAGAGATTGTAATTGGTTAGGGGTATTAGGGAAGGCTGCGTGGAATCATTGGTGTTTGAGATGCGCCTTGAAGTTTGGGTGGGATTTCAGTGGGCCGAGGTGGAAGTCCTCCCCTGGTAGAAGAAAGCGATGACTCCAGACAATGGGAAGCAATCTCAAGCTCCATCAACACAGCCACAGGCAACGTAGCAGACTGGATACACCAGGCTTCCGGGGAGGCGAGCAGGAGAAAGTTCTAGAAAGGAATTTAGAAGTTGGATTTGTAGAAGGTCTTGCAAGCCTGGTGAGGGACTTAAGAAGCACTGAAGTTGTCCATGTGAGGAAGGTATGATGAAGACTGATTAAACGCATGCAGGACTGTATCATCTGACTTTTGAAAAGGGGGCATCCAGTTGGCTATAAAGCAGAATGAGAAAACGGAACAAGATTCCCACGTGAAAATATATCTCAAAATTTTAAATTGTTCGTATACCTA